GTAAGACAGCGAATATAACAGCAGCACTGACTTAGGGAATGTGCTGCAATTGGCGGTTGGAGTGCTCGATGCTGAAGTTCTTGTCCAACAAGAAGGTAAGCGATGTATTATGGTTTGCGGCATCCGGTTTCGGATTTGCCTATCACTGTGGCCAACCACAGGACGCCTGCGCCTACAGAGGGACCATGGGCGGCTTGCGCTGCACCACGCACAGTTCCAACCACACATACCATATCCAGCATAAGGCTGAAGGAATAAAACCGGGAGGCATATGGATGGGATCCACGTTTCTTCAACGGAGCCGGTCCACACTCCTTCACAGACAAGCACAAGCACGCTGAATTTGGAAATCAATCGCATACAAGGCGGTGGCTAGACCGTGATCCGCTCTACATTGAGTGCATGGAACCACTCTTCAAGTCTAGCATGGCCACAAGGACCGTGTACCCTCCAGCAACGACCAACTGTCTCCTGGAGCCAGTATTGACAAGATAGTGGATAACAGACAGGTAGGCACCATGTCAACATGCACATCAAGTGCAGCCACACCGGGAATAGCAAGCAACAGCCAATGACCTGAAACAACGATACTATATAAGGTCTTAGTTACAATGGCTCGCATGATCAGGGAGAGCGACACAGTCCCTCGGCGCGGCCTTTTACGACCCGACAAAAGCAAGTCGAACCTGCACAGCCTCGACAATATACTGAGGCTAGCGACGTATATAAACCGCTACATAGCATTTATTGCATATTACTGGGAACAAATATTCCTCACTTTCTCCTTTTATAATGGAAATTTTATTCTTTCCCTAATAATAAATTTTGTAGCTAATGTTATCGTGACCGAGAAAGTCAAAGTAAAGGAGTGCAGAGCACCTCTACGAATGCGTTAATTGAGCAAATAAAGCAGAGGAAACGGGGAAACAAGAGACCTGATACAAAGCGAAATGAAGTGTAATTCAATTTAAATGGCATGAGAAAATATTCTAATATTCATGAGGTTATTTCAGGAGGACTGTGATTCGACGAATGGTGTGAACAGCTTTACAAGAGCTCCATCCAGTCTGGTTGGTGTGACGGTTCAGATATCCGCCTCACAATCTGCTTGCCTTTGGTTTGGACCTTCTCTTGCATCTAAATTTGGTCAATCTGTTTGTGTTCTAACTGGCCCACAATAATACAGTTGCTTCACTGTACATTTCTTTAACAGACATCCAATGACGGTGCAAGCAAAATGTTCGGTACATTTCCAAACAAAAAGGGAGCAATGGAAAGAAAAGTGAATGAAAATAATTGTGAACGGTACAATGACAAAAATGTTGTACTACCAAACTAAATATAAATGCCTGGAAAAGAGTTTATGGATCTAAGCCTACCATTGATTCAGAAATGTGTAGGCAGACAAAACGAGTATCTGCATAGAGGCAGCCAAACATGAAACGCCCACTTACGAAGATAACACGTACCAACATAATTACATGTCTTGGTTGATTTCTTTGCGTGTTCTCTCTCGTATTGGTTCGTTAAATAAAAAGGTCTTTTGGACAAACGTGCCGAAATGTGTGAAATATCGAGTAGGTATAAGACAACACAGTGTGAAATCAGAAAATATGATCGCAAGTGACAACTAACGGACCCCAGCCTAGCTAATTTTATGTGATTATTAGATATGAGCAATACTTTTCGGCAGGGTTACAAGCCCTACGCTTGATCTATGGGCTAATATTCTGCTTCGAAAAGCGACAAACTTCCCGATCCTCACAGTGACTTCATTGGTAATGTAACTGGAAGAGGTGAGATCAATATTTAGATGAGTGACTGATTAGGGCGAGTGCCTGTTGTGCAACTTTGCTCCTCACTGTGGCAACGAACATGAGGCATGCTCTAACAAAGAGATGATAGGTGAGTTTGTTGTGTTACTTACAGCTTCACTTGGATGAACTCCGAGTTTCGTGTATGCTCGAATGCAAAAGACTAATTGCTTCAAGGAAGCTCTACAGTCTGGGAACCCGCAAATCTCCCACTGGTAGGTGATTCCCCGTGATTGATCCAGGGTCAATGCAAATGCGACATGTGTCTTCGCACATTGGAACATGCGGGATGGACACTAGCCAGTTATAGTGATGCAAAAGTTGAAAAGGCATGTATATGGTACGCATATATGGAAGCGCCTGAGCCACATGTCGCTAAGTAGATGAACCCATATGAATCTAATGGTGTCATAAGGATAGCGTGATCGATCCTCACCAAAAACGATTAGCAGTCAGGTGGAGTCAGCGAGTGAGATGAAAGTATAAGGAAAGGCAGCAGCTTCATGTCATACTGGCGCTTCGCTGCCACTCGACAACCACCAGTTGCTCATGGTCTATGGGTAGTGCGACGTCGCCCGTACCTACACCGGTTCGAACCGGTCAACTTTGGGTTACAAGATAGATGCCGGCCCGTGGCCAAAAGGACAAAGCCTGTTCTTTGCAATCCGGGAGTCCCGAGTTCGAGCCTGTGTATAGGACCGAGCGACCCTCGAAATGTCCTTAGTCCACGCGCGACTACCGATGGTTGCTTGGCAGCGCATTGTTGATGCTAGCCTCATCCATTCTGCCACCAGCCCACAGTGTGAAGTGAGCGAGTGCTTTACGAACATTCGTACTGTACGCGGCCAGACCCAGCTGATCAAACAGATCACGTAAACGTCGCGTAAACATATGAACTCCCCTAAATGCAGCACAACTGCAGTAGCTGTAGATGTTCAACGCCAGTCCCAGATTTTAATGCTACAACAAGTACCAAGTGCTATAAAGAGTGAGGACTCGTGTCTGATGATTAACCTTATCAGACGCTGTATAGCAAAGTAACTGCAGCGAACGGGGAGTTGGTAAAGGATGATAAGCAAAACTCCGCATGACACTAGGTCGGTGTACTTGGTGGTGGACATAAGCGTGCAGTCACGTCTCATAAGCCAAACAGAGAGTAAGTAGATGAAACAAGTTGACAGGATAACTGAAACAGAAAAAATAAACACGAGTAAGTAACTACGTTGTCAGTAAGATTCGGTTAGAAAAGGACACGGTGAAAACATGAGACGAATGCACCAAGCGTGGTACAAAAGAACGAGTGAATATTGATGGGTGCCTAGTGCGCAAATGGCTGACAAAAACTTAATATTAATAGAAGACAAACAGCCGTCCCGCATCCTTTACTGTGATGCAAAAGTTCCAAAATTAAAAACGCAAAGTCTAAGCGACCAGAAACAATTAGAATGGGCAACCAAATCCTCAAGAAGGGTAGTAAACGCTAAAACTCCTGTTTGGACAAGCTAGCACACGGTTAAGAAGTGGAGCGAAACCAGAAAGAAGCAAATTCCAGGAGGTAAAAGTGAGCGGGTGAGCAAGTAGGCGTGAAAGTGGGTCACATAATATCATATTGCAGGCTGTCACCTAGGTTTGGATCATCTTTGCGTTTGTGGACATCACCGAGGTGCATTTGCACAGGAATCATGGTGGGGATCATTCGCATCGTTGGTGGACAGACTTAATTAGTGGCGTAGACCTACGTGCTCCTAATAATTGAAGTGGAACGTCCTAATAACCGCATCTAACCTGTGGTTGCTTGGGTGAGCTAATCCGTGGAAGAATGTCGCAAGGACTGAGGCTCAACAAATGGCAATGGCAAGGTCTCCAGTCATATTACTGGTTAAAGTGGCTGGTCTCACAGTAGTATCAAATTATGAAGGTGTAAAATGAAACTTCAGGAAAGTAGCAAGGCACCGATGCACAGTGTGAATAACGAATATGATGCATGCGACATCAACCTACAGAGCATAAAAAATTTAAAGGTTATTTAAAAAACGGTCTCAACTCCTTTTTGAAAGGTAGCACTCCCGTATAGGCAGGAACTCTCCAGTGTAAATAAGCTCTAAAATAAACGTAGGACAACTATCAACATAGTCAGTCACGGGGCTAAGCAGAAGGAAGAAGCCATCAACAGTACGCCGGTAGGTAGCACCGACGTTTCACTGCCGCGCAACCACCACCGGTCGCACGTGGGTTGGGATACTGCATCATTATGTCACCATACACGTTAGCTAGAGGTGGAAAATACTTCAGCTATCGTGCCGCTAGGATACTGCGAGAGCTGCCCTGTCTTCCATGCAGGCTCGAATCAGCACCCTGGAAGTCTAAGGCAAATTTTTGATTGTTAAGGCTAAGGGCCAGCAGTCAAAAGGTTGCAGGTTTCGTTAGTATAATAAGTTGTAATGGATGACGCACTGAAAAGTATTGGAGGAGAATAGGCCGGTAAGAGAATTCTACTGACGATTGATGGATTACTTCAACAGATCAACATCGGTTGGTTGCAAGTATATCAAAAATAAGACGGCTGCAACTAAATGGGCTATTTGCGAGGCGCCGCACTGAACAGCACAAACTTCTAAACAAAACCACAAAGATAATACTAGTAGGTAAGCACACATGGGCTAAGAATGTTTGCTAATTGTCCGAGGTAAATGTTAGCAAACAAAACAGAAACAAATAGATAACGTTTCTCCTCGATTTTCGCAAGCCAACTGAACGAAGGATTACCTACTAATACTTGAAGTGTGTACTAACAGGGACCACGGGCAGCTTGTAAGTACTTGGATGCTGCGAAAAAGGCTAAATGGTTAGGTAGAAGCAAGCATTCTAGACGGGGGTAGGGTGGGTGTTGGACGGTACCTCAACCAAACATCCGACTAATACTAAGCCAAGCAGTAACAAAATAACTGCAAACGAACTTTAGCAGAAACCTGAACACATCTGAGGTGGCTGTAGCGAAAGACAGGCAAGTTTTAAACCCTTACGTTGGACGCATAATCGTATTACACTGAAAGGAGAAATTGGTTACATGCGCATCAGTCGTAGAACATATAAAGCCTGCATTAGCAGCAGCAGGAGTAACCAATAAAGAGAACACTTTACTGGTGAAAAAGTAAGCGCGGAGGCATAATTAGTTTAGTAACTTACCCCAGAGTTGTCATTGTGACAATAGTGTACCAAAACGCGGCAGGAATGCTATTGAACTGCGAAGTTTCCGATTTTTCAGCATAAAACATAATTGTCGAGAAGATAATAACACCCATAGTTATAGTGAACAGGAGAAAACCGAGTTCAGAAGCACAGCATCGCAACGTACAGCCGAGAATGCGAAGGCCCTTGCTGTGTCGTGAGAACTTGAATATACGGCATACCCGAAACACGCGGAGAGTAGTGAACGCACCGGAAAACTCTTTGTTGTTTGACACAACCAGTCCGACGTAATAAGGTAGAACAGCAGCAATGTCGATGAGTGACATGATTGATCGCACAAATTTACATCTGGCAGGAGCTGCGTATAATCTGGCGACATATTCAGCGGTGAAAAGCATAACACAAGCAGTGTCTAGGCAAAAAAATGCCGCGTTATACTTTTCACCGCAGGGAATGCTATCACCGGTTTCTGGACTAATCCCGCATGAAACTGTTTCAGTAATGTTTGCAAGCACAGATACTGCAATGAAGAATCCTATAACGTAGTATAATACAACAGCAAGCGTAGAGATCCGTGGATTCTCAAACGCCCTCCAAAGTTCATTGCGAAAAGTCGCCGGAAGTAGTTTATCTTCAGATTTAACATCTTTATCCTCGAGCTGTCTTTCTTTGTTTTCGCGAAACTTGTCAAGATATTCCTCGTAACAACAGTCACCCATGATTTCAGGCATGATACCGAAATAGATGAGTTCTTCGTAATAAGCAGTAACGCATGCATCTTTAGGAAGATGAAGCTTTCCACATCGGTAATACGCCATGATATAGCGAAAGAGTTCAGGGTCTCGATCGAAAAAGTATTCGTTTAAAGTAGGATCCTTGAAATATTCCTTTTCATCAGAACCAAGGAGTGTTTCTGGGTACCTCTCAAGAGTAGATCTCCATGTTTCAAACCGCGAACCACTAACATTGAGTACAATTTTTTGATCTTGAAAAGACGTCTCGGAAAATAGTCTGGGAGCTTCTGGTAACACGTACTGGACCAATGGAGTCCAGGCTAGGGCAGATGCCCGAACAACCGGTAACCAAGACGGGTACATGGAAATTTAGCACGCAATACAGTCTGATAATGGATGAAACGATGATTGTCAGTATTCTCCGGTAGCAACTCACCGGTGTTTGTTTGTTGCGGCCACTTCTTGCAAACACATTTTGCGCGCCGTAATCTCATCAAGCAAGGTTACGCAGGTAGTAACCAAACTGAACAATAAAAACAAGCGCGTTGATTCGAGCTCGTTCAGAGGAGTACAAGCAACAGGTTAACCACTGAAATGTTTCTTTTTGTGTGTATCCTTGGACCAGAAAACAGCAGGTTAGTTTGAGTTATTTTTAGGCCTTAAAGAAACAAACCGGTTGCTACCCACGTATTTTCCAGCTGTTAATGTCCGGCCGATTGCAGTAAGTAAGAACGCGTGAACGTCGTTAAGAAAGCCATAAGCAGATATTAACTAGCTACTGATAATTCGCCCGCATAACAGGAACTGTGAACAGGAACTTGAAACTGAATGTACATGCTTGTTAAGAGAAGGGGGAATGATCTGGCTTCGCCCCCCAAGAGCATCCAAGTGAAATTCGGAATCCTTTAGCCGTAGAGGTCCTGTCGACCTGCGCCGAAAGCGAGTTCCGACGTCCGGTGACTTAGCGCGACAAACTATTTCCGTCATAACCCTGTCAGAATGTACATTGGAACATTGGAAGATTGTAATTAATGAGAATGAAACCTCGATCTTTATACGACCCACAAGGTAACAAAAGTTCGGTTCGGCTCCGTACAAAAGCTGAGCAAACTTATAGCGAGTTGCACTCGCGTGTTAGCCGGATCTTCATCGGGCCTATGCGGCATTTTAACGGAATATATGCCCGCTCAGAGCTTGACATCCCACCACGCCCACCGAAACGGCTATGGAAAGGCATTGGGTAGAAGGGAAAAAGATATGAAACTCCATCAAGCAGGAGATAGTTATCTTAGGAAATACCTTGGAGTAGCTCGGCCAGATGACAGTCCATGTGGGTCATAAAACCCGCCAAATTGGCTGCCAAAACTAAATCGGCAAACAGAGCCTGCCACGGTCCGCAGACTAACAAACCAAAGTACTGTCGTCTGCAGTTCAGCAGTCTGTGCTGTTGTGTGCGCCACAGTTGATGGGCACGTAGGTGGGAGCACTATCATTGCAGAGTGAGTCGGTGGCAACGGGGATGTCCAGGGTTCGACAAGATCATAAATACGAAGATCAGGTAGACCCGGAAAAGTCGGTAAGTTAGCCAATAGAGGTCCAGGCACTGAAGTCGTTTTGGTTACTTTAGGTGCTTGAGACCTCGGAGCAGTTTTGTTGCTTGACCTTGGGGCTTGGAGTATACCTTGGTTCATCAACAAACAGGGGCTCCAAGCCTGAATGGCAAACTCTAAGTAAGGTAGGAGTAAATCGTTGAGGAGGATTCGGAACTTGCTAGAGTCAATTGGACCGAAGGCTCGTTTAAGCAAGCACACTATGCGGTTAGTAGCAGCTGATGCTTTCCGGCGGGAGACGGATACTGAAAGACACGTCTGGGTAATGATACACAAGTCCTTTCGGCTGAAGATAACTGGAGGATAGAGGCGTCCAGGAAATCTATAAAAGAAAAAGCGGAAGGGCGGGTAGAAAGAAATCGCCATTGCGAAGCGTTAACTGAAAACGTCTTTTCTATGTAGTAGGTCACGGTCTGTCTGAAATGCATCGTCCGGGACGTTAATTGTGCGCAACAGCTTAGCGTCATTCGCAAATAGCAGCTGAGTAGACTCCACTTGGGGTGTGACATCATCAATGAGGGCTACGGACAGCTGCGGTCCGAGAACAGACCCTTGTAGAATTCCGCTTGTGTCAAGGATGCGGATGGATCACTCTTTGTCGACGGGTACTTGGACACTACGGTTTTTGAGTTAGTTTTGGCTTTAGTCACTCCAGGCCCCTGAAAAGCCGTAAGACAACAGTTACGGTAGTGGAATGTTGGTGTCGACCTTGTCCAAGGTTTTGGCGAAATCCAAGCATAAGACGTGTGTTTTTAGGCCAGGGTCGACCTCAATGGTCCAGCTATCCTTGGAAAGTAGCAGGTTACGCAGGCAAGGCTGTTACCGCCGGAAGCCGAGATGGCAAGCAGAGAGAATTTTCTCGGCCTCCAAGTGATCCGTTAAAGCGTCTGCGACGATCGATTCACTAACGTTGAAGGTCGTAGAGTGGAGGGTTGTCGGTCGGTAATAGGCCGGGTCTTTGCGAATACTTCCTTTGTAGCTTGGTGTAAGAGTCCCGCGTTTCCAATCATTTGGAACCTTGCCTTGTGAGAAGAAGTGGATGAACTGCTCCACTAAGAGTAAAGCTAGAGCTACAGCGCACGCTTGCGAGAGCCTTGGGTAGAAACCGGCAGCGCCAGGAGAGGCCGTCAGCCGCAGGGATTTGAATTTCGCCAGGATCTTCTCCGGAGTGAACCGAACAATCGTCAGGGAATTAGAGGTGAGATCGAAGTAGGTACTATCGTTGTATACGTTGACGGATTGGAGAAGTTGAATGCCTACTGCTGGCACAGGGCTTCTGCTGCCACGTTTGCTGACTTTTGAGCGTTGTGGAGTTCATCAGGGCAGTGAAATTGTGCTTTACTTGTTAAGCACTTTGCCGTGACTACACAAGGCTCTGGAATTCGTTGAAGGTGTACACGCGAGATGACGCTGATGCTCATCCTTATCCACGCGGTCAAGATGGACGCAACTGTTACGAATGGTTCGGCAACATTCCTACTGATTAGCCGTTGGATGGAAAAGATATTTTCTCTAAGCCGTGTCCCTGGAGGCAACCCACTTCCGTGTACGACTTAAATAAATAAATAAATAAATAATTACTTTATTCTCGACTAGGCGAGGCACGCCCATGGAGGCATGATCAGATATGTACAACTGTACAAACATTTTATGGCAGCTGTGACAGTAATAGTAGAAAATTGGTCGTGTGTCCATGATAAAATAAATAAATAGATAGTTTATTCTCAGTTTCATAGAGACGCACCAACTTAGGCATGATCAAGGTTTAAAAACTGTTGTGTATCACGATGATACTCCGGGTTCAATCGTGTGTAGTTGAAACGGTGTCAAGAAGAGTTGATATGTGAATTTGGTCGACTTGCCAGTATGTAGTTGTAGGCTGTAACTTTTTACAGTGGCGAGTCACATCCGCCACGTCGCAGTGTTGTTAAACAGACATTTGTGGCTTTTTATAGGGAGAACGCTTGCCAGGCGAAAACCCACCACGTCCTGCAACACTGCCGTAAAGCATTTTGAACATTAATGTTGAACTGGCAAAGCCGCTTGACGACTGGTTTCACCTTCGGTTTTTCGCGGGGTAATGGCTTCTAATTTCCTCTGTTAGTTGGACGGGTATTTTGATCTGGGTCGCCATGATTTTTGAGGTCGGTGGAGGAGAGGGACATCGCGATTTTTCTTCTTGTTGTATGTCCAGGTGAGCAAAAGTTTCAATTTTTCCGCTGTCCAGATTTTTCAGATGTATAATGTATGGGAGTATGAGGATATGTCCAGTTCTCCATACTGGACAAGGGTTATGGTGATTGTAGGTCGGTCCTTGCGGAGTTTTACCATCCTCCATGTCAGTCCTTATGGGTTGTTACGTCCGTCTTGGGCCAAAACTGTTCCTCAGTCCAATCCCAGATCTCCAAGATGTCCCGGACCTCAGAGAAAAGGGAAAGTGAGAGACAACCGAGAGAAGACCGCAAGAACAGGCATGGAGTTGAATATTGTTAATGTCTTGTGTTATAACATTTGGGCTTGAGACAAAAGCATGTACACTGTGCAACAATAATTATGCTGAAAATGTCTTTTGAGTATCCTATAGAATCATTAGCCGTATAGGTGGATTGCTATCGCCTGCGTAGGGACAAGAGCGTTGCACCAGTAAGTAAAGTACGAGTATCCGTTTGATATGAGTCGATAGTTGCGTGGGGATAGAGCAAAGAGAGTTAGAATGTTGGTAGTGATTGTCAGGTGCATGAACAGCACGTAGTTAGTGTAATCCGAGAGGGGGGCATAATAAGCGAAAATAAATAGGTTGCTGCGAGAGAGTCTTAAAGATCAATTGGTGGCAGGGCAGCGGAGGGACTGGATGCAGATATTCTAGAGGAGTAAAGGTTATTGAGATACGGGGTGGCTACTAGCAAGCACTGGATCATCGCATATGCATGGGGCCAATGGCCATTAGCTACTTCTGAAGAGAAATGCCGAATTTATGACGACCGACAGATGTTGGCGCTAGGAGTGACTCAGTCGCCAGATGCAGCTATTCCAATCAGACGCTTTGTCACTAGTGTATGCCTATAGGGTCGATGAGTGTATCTATAGGCCAGTGAAGGTAAGTGATAGGTCAACAGATCAGCTAAGCTGTGACGCAAACAATCCAAGAGAATGAACATTGTAAGAGGGAGCGAGCTCCGGATATCCGCAGAGTTAAATGGAAGCTATGGCGACTAGCTGCTGCTAAGCAGAGATAGTGGCTCTAGGAAAGAATGAATCAGTGGCTGCTGTAGCCATGTCATTAAGACGTTTGACCAATACTGGATACCTACAGTTTCGATGAAGAAATCGACATGCGAGCGAAGCTTTAAGAAACAGACGGCAAAAGAGAATGAAGGTTGGAGAGTCAGTGGGTGGCTCCTTGTAATCTACATGGAGCCAACAATGACTAGCTGTTGTCAAGTGGAGTTGACGCGAGTAGGACGAACGACAAATATCGGCGCGCTAGGAGAGAGAAGAGTGACCAGCAATAGAGTTTAGACTAAGCCTTCAGTTACTAGTGGATCCTACGGTGGCACATAATAAGTCGACAAACCATCTGAGCTGTGATGCAAACAATCCAAGAGAATGAACATTGTAAGAAGGGAGCGACTCCTACAGAGCTTCGGATATCCGCAGAGTTAAATGGAGGCTATGGCGACTAACTGCTGCTAAGCAGAGATATTGGCTCTGGAAAAGAGTGAACCAGTGGCTGGTGTAGCCATAGTATTAAGACGTTTGTCCACTATTGGATACCTACAGTTTCGACGGAGGAATCAACATGCGAGCGAAGCTTAAGAGAGACAGACGGCAAAAGAGAATGAGGGTTGGAGAGTCAGGGAGTGGCTACTTGTAAGCTACATGGAGCCAACAAT